AGATGGAAGTTTGACCCGTGTCAAAGGTTGGGAGGTGGCTGACGATTCGGGAGGTGGCTGCGGGTTAACGAAAGGGAAAAACGCGGCGGTGGGCGTCTTCAGAGAGAGTCCGTGCGGCCAGCAGGTCGTTGCGGTTCAGGGCTGCCCGGGACTGTGGAGATAGATAGATATAGATAAATAGATAGATAGATAGATATAGATAAATAGATAGATAGATATAGATAGACAGACAGATACATAGATACATAGATTGGGTCGACAGATAGAAACGGTGGTTGGTTTTGGAGGGTGACATTAGTAAGCTCTACTTTTCTTTCTCTCTGTTGTTTCTGTCCGTCTTTTTCTCCCCTCTCTCCCCTCCCTCAGCTTGAAGTGCCCCTCTAAACCCAAACAAAACAATAGAAAAGATAGGAGCGAACTGAATACAAAATAAATGCTAGAGAAGTAGACACTTTGTTGACAATGAGTTGTGTCATCCATACGCATGGCACCCGACTAGCGGGGTAGTTGCTTTCCTTTTTTAAAAATTATCTCCCAGTGGCCAGACAATGACTTAGCAAGTGGTCCGAGGGTACCACTGCGCTACTTTAGAATAGGAAAGTTCTATCTGACATTTTTGGCCGTTTTGACCATGAAGTCAGAAACCAAATGTTCTACCTACTCTATCAAAATCGTAAGATGATTCGCAGTCATCATCAAGATATTCGACAATGTCAGGCTGTCATCAACGCTACTGATCGTGTTACTTTTGTAGACCACCCCCACAGTCTTGTAAGTCTTGAATAAACCTGTAATGTTAACATTCCGTATTGTTGTTGCTTTTTTCGTTTTTAAAATTGATTGAATTCGTATTCCTCAAATTTTAAAGAATATCGACTCATTGTGAAACTAGCTATTTTCATTTTAACACAGAGTATACTTTAAAATGTGACAGAGTATATTAAGTACAACTCCCCTCGACACCTCGAGGTACGTGGGTAATTTTAGTTTTAGACTAGACCAGGGCAAGATCGACGGCAAAAAGACTCGAGGCCTCGATTCCAAAACTGAAAAAGAGTCGAGGAATCGACTCCGATTTTCGAGTTTGGAAACTGCTTC